AATTCATGATGCAACACACATTTCTAAAGTCCTGGGTGATAACTCTGCTAGGCATCGTCCTCAGGATTCACCTATGTTTAATAATCAGTCCTCAGAGCAGTTCTGTGAAGGACTTGGCACTGTCCCATTTTTAAGATGGCATCAAAGGCCAGAAGTGAGAGGTGAGCCTATGCAAACCTCCTCTATTATGATTCTGTGTCTCAACCCGTGAAGGGTCCTGGGAATGCTTACCTAGCTCTGGGACCAGTTGTAGGGTATTTGCTTGCTCTGTCCCTGCCTTGCCTAAGAGGGTAGGGCCTAGTGCATGGATCTGTGGTCCCCTTCCTGAGGTTCCAGTGGTGGGGAGATGAGAATGCCAGAAACTGAGCTACAGAGAGCAGAGAAGTCATTGCTTCATCAGGGAAGTGTTTGTAAAGGGGACCAAGAAGCTGGACTCAGAATAAGGAAATGAAGCCTTCCAAGAAGGAGAGGTACAGACATTAAGAAAAAAAGTGGCACTCCCTTTAGTGGCACAGACTAACAGTATGTGGTTCTGGAGGGAGATGAAGCCAGCGTAGACCTCCCCCAGAGACCAAAAACATTCTTGCTGGCTGGGTCCTGGCGAGTCATCAAGTAGCTAACAGGAAAACAGTGATCACTTGACTGGTCATATCCCCAGCAGGGCTGCTGTGGCATCAGGCTATGGTTTCAAGAGATAATGGCTCCAGACAAGTCTTGGCCAATCAAACTTTCATATGGTGATGAGGGACAGCTGTCCATCAGGAAACTCCAATTGCTACTAAGTCATAATCAACATGGATCAATATATTCCTTCAGCTAGCCCTAAGTACAGAGCCTTCCATTTGACTGCTGAGTTAATTCCCTTGGGCATTGGAAGAAAAAAATGTAACAAACTGTTGCCGCCCTCTGAGAGCTTATTTTTTTTTACGGGGGAAGGTGGTGTAAGTGTTCATGAGGGGGGAAAGCGAGAGAGTTTTCCTGCCTGCTTATTATTTTCTGTTTGTGACAGTTTCACTATGACATGCAGACTGACTTTGATCTCATGAATCCTCTGCTTCCCAAATACTGGGTTTATAGGTATTCTCCACCCTGCCCAGCTTAAAGTACGACTGACTTCCTTCCTTCCTCCCTTCCTCCCTCCTTTCCTCTTCCCTTTTTTGAGAGTCTCACTGTGATGCCTGGATTTGTTACCCTTCCTCTGCCTCTAGGACTACAGGTGTGTGTCACCATACCCAGCTTTAAAGTTAAAAGTCTTAAATACACCATAGTCTAGTAAGATAGTAATCACAAGGTTTACAATGTTCTAGACACTTTCTGAGAAGTAAAAAAAAAAAACATTTCTTTTTATTTTATGTGTATGAGTGTTTTACCATGTGCATGCAGTGTCAGAGGCCAGGCTAGGGGCATTGGGTCCCCTAGAACTGTAGTTACAAGTGGTTGTTAGGCATGTGTTACCTGGGTCCTATAAGAGTAGACAGTGCTGTGAACCACTGGGTCATCTCTCCAGCCCCATTTTCTTAATAATTTTAAAGATTTTTTTTTTTAAATCATGAAAGTAACCCTCCGTTAGCACTGTGGTCCTCATTTTGTATATGAGTCGGTCAAAGTCATAGAGGGACAACTAGGTCTTGAACCCAGGCATTTTTGCTCTAAGGTCCAGTTTCACTCTAAGGATATTTGAAAATCCTTGGGTGGTCAAAGCCGGGTGCTCTTGGCGTCTAGGCAGTAGGGACAGAAAGACTGATGTTAATATTGCCCAGTGCACAGTCCCCGAATCCTTACATCAGAGAACTGTGCCCCAGTTGTCAATGTCAAGGTTAAGAAACAAGTTGCCCTATGTAAATACCATATCTGAAACATAAATCATGTACTAGTCCAGCAACCTACCATTCTCTTTCCCAATTCCACGAGTAAATTTATGCTGGAGGAAGACAAGTCATGTGGGTGAGACCGCAGCCTGGACGCAAGCACTGGCTCCCCTCCCCTTCCCCTATTCCTGTCCCTCTCTGTATGTCAGGCACCAATTTGGCACCAGGTAGCTCTTTGCTCATTAAATGGTAGATATTATTAGAAATCAATACCTTTAATCCAAGCACTTTGGAGGCAGAGGTAGGCAGATCTCTGTGAGTTCAAGGCCAGCCTGGTCAACATAGTGAGTTCCAGGCCAGCTAGGGCTACAAGGAGACCCTGTCACACACACAAAAAACCCCAACAATAAAAAAAAAATCAATTAAAAGGTGTCCACTGGTGTGTGATGGAGTGCCAGATGAGTCACACATGGTAGCATGTGTTATAACAGGGAGAAGGGCAAGCAGGAAGGAGGGAGCCCCTGTATTGAGCACCAGGGCTGGACAGAAAATGCTGAGGAGGGCCTTATATTGAAGCCTGCTCCACAGCAGAGGTAAGACTGGAGTGACAAGGGTGAATTTAGAGACTGCTACCAGTGTTCAAGAACAGTTGACACAGGCTGGTGGTCTCAGGAACACCACAGGTCTCAGGTACAAGGGAGGTCGAATTAGGGGCGTTGGGGGCAGGGTGTGCTGCTTTGAGTCCTGGTTCCCAGACGTCCTTCCTGACCACTTTTTATATCATTGACTCAATCTTCCTTGTGAGCAGATGACATGAGGCATTCTCCATTGCCTTGTGCTGGACTTTCAGTCAGAACCATTAGATTCTGGTCATTCCTCCAGTCCCTTATCCCTTCACCTAGGAGATTCCATATACCCAGGATGGGTCTATTCGTAAGTAGGCCAGTGAGTCACTGATTTGGGGGAGAGGGATCTAAGGCAAGGTCTCACTATATCTCACTCTGATATTGAACTCACAGCCTTCTCACCCTCACCTTCCGGGACTTGTACTACACACCCAGCATCAGTTCAGAGGGTGGTGTGTGCAGACGCTGCAGTGGGAGAAACTCAGATTGTGGCTGTGACTAACTTCTCCCATCTGTGCTTCAGTTTTCTCTTGTGCAAAATGGACGTAATAGTAGCCCACGTTGGGGTCACCTGTTGGAGTGATGGGGTCTGACATGAGCCAAGAGAATTTTATCAAATTAAAATAAATTTTTGTTTCTGGGAATGGAGGCAAATGCTTGGCAAATGCTGTGCCGCTAACCTAAGCTCCAGTCCAGAATCAGTTTCTCTCTCTCTCTCTCTCTCTCTCTCTCTGTATGGTGTAGGGGTAATTTAAGATGGGGTCTAATATTAGTTCAAACTGACCTGGAACTCAACATGTAAGCTTGTCTGGAAATCACCATAAGCCATCATACCTGACATTTTAAATTAATACTGGATGGATATGGATGTCAGAAACCATCTGAGAGGTGCAGAACCACTGTCCCTTTGTGGACAGGATCTTTGCAAAATTCGGAAGTTTCAGCCGGGCATGGTGTTTCACACCTCTATTAGTACTCAGGGTGCAGAGGCAGGTGGATCTTTGTGAGCTGACTGTCAGCCCGGTCTACATAGCAAGCTCCAGGCCATTCAGAGCTACATAGTGAGACCCTATCCCAAAAGAAATACCAAACAAACAAAATCCTGAAGTTTCTGCTACTCTGGACTCCATGGAACAATTTAGCTTATTGATCATGCTGGAAAGTTAGCAGGTCACCTTCTGTGTTTTTGCTGATTCCTTATCTTTAATAACCTGCTGTCACATTTATTGGTCTGCCCTTCTTAGAATAACTTCCCTATTTTATTTTACAAATCTGTAAATAGCAGAACAGCAAATAGGCTTTTCCCTTCTCTCCTCAATAAATATTTATTTGGATTGTCCCAGGTCCAGGTAGAGCTAACCTGAGGTGACCTCAGGCCTGAGGTGACCAACAAGACAAAGCCCCTTTCTTAGTGGTGCTTGAGCTCTGATAGTCAAGAAATAGGTTAATGTCAGTTTGATCCAGGTTCTGGGAAACCCTCTCAGAAGACATCACAACAGGGCAGGTATTTCTGAGAACAGATGTTCATAGGCTCCAAATTCCCAGAAGTGAGTGGGTCAGAGATGTAAGATGAGAAAGGTTTTCCAGGGTTTCTAGTAGTGCCTTCCCACAACATCTCCACCCCCCTCTGCCTGTAGCCCAGGCTACCCTGGAACTCAGCTTTGGAACCTGAGTTGTGACCAAACTTGTGGCCTCTCAGTGCCACTTTTAATTTTCACATCTTGGATTGCTAATGAGGCAATCGTAGGCTCTGGTTAGAATTTAGACATTGGAACTTCCTTTTCTGAGAATTTTCTGTTTGTATGCTTGGTGTCAGAGTGGCCAGCCAGGTTTGATGGCACACAGCTGAGAGACATTGTAGAGAAAATGGGTTATGAGGAAGTATCCTGGAAACAATGTATCTCTGATAAAGGGGCATTGGTCAGGCAGAGTAACCCAGTGATAATTGTGATTCACTGCGAGTCTGTTTGATGCTAGACCTTTGACCTCACCACCAATCTCACAGCCCAGGAGGTGTGAAGAATTGTCTTTATTTTACAGACAGGAAGCTGACACCATGCTTAGAGGCTTTATAAAGGGACTTGGTCTTGATGCATACCCACTCATGAGCAGTGCTATTGGCCTGCACATGGCACAGTATGTGATACTTTCATAGAAGACAGTAGGGAAAGGAGGGCTGTCTAGGAGTGTGTGTATTACACATGTATAGATGTTAAGACCACTGGGTGAAGTTAGGTATCTTCATGTAAGAGGAGGATGGGGAGCCCATTGGAAGGTTGTAAGTACTTAGTGAGCCATGATTTTATTGCTGACAAAGTTGAGAATCAATAAAGCTGGGACAAAAAGGAGAGGAACCAGATTTATCTAGGCTAGATAAGAGGTGGCTTGATCCATTGATAGCCTGGGGAGTGGTAGAGGAATTGAGCACCAGGTGCAAGTGTGACCCTCTTCCCTTCCTTCTAGTCCCTGAATAGACCCTTTGCAAGGGATGGTTATCCATCAGAAGCACATGGGTACAAGAATCCTTCTGTGGCTAATTCCTTAACCCCTGTCTTATCTTCCGCAGACTATGGCTCCTTGGCCTGAGTTGGAAAATGCCCAGCCAAATCCCAATAAATTCATTGAAGGGGCCTCGAGTCCACAGACAACCATACCAGCCAAGGACAAGGAGACTAGCAAAAGTAAGTACTGCTCACTAACTAGGTCCTTGCAAGGACCCGTGGACATTCGAGACTTGTTCCTCACGGCCTTTGCTGCTCGTTTGGGCAGATGACAGTGGCGTTCCTGTATCCAAGATTGAACTTCTGCCCTCCTATTCAACTGTGGCCCTGATAGAGGAACGCACCCAGGAGGATGACCCCTGGGACCTGCCTGAACTCCGGGACACTGGGATCAAGTGGTCAGGTAAATAAATCCTGCAGGGGCCAGAGGGGTACCATCCTGTTTAGTGTCACCTTTGTGTCATACATCCATTATCATGGCTCTGATGCCCTTAGAACCAGGGTCCTGGCTAGTAATGCCACTCACATGCTTTTTGGATTGGTCAAAGCACAGTAACTTGGGAACCCTTTGAGTGTTCTCCAAAAGTCCCAGGGACCAAGGTTATAACAGACAGATGCTGTCTTGAACTTTAGAATTCAGTGTAAGTTAACCAGGTTGTAGGCTTTATAAGAAGTGCTGTGGCTACAGCTTTGCACACACAGACTCATCTAATAGTTCAGAGACAGCGGGGGGCCAGGGAGGCGCAAACAAAAGCTCACTTCTCTTCCAAATTTAGGGCTAAGGTCAGCTTGTGAATCAGATAGGTAGTAGGAGGGGAAGGGAATTGGGAAGTAGGGGTGAGAAACATCCCTGTATATATGAGACCTGGCCCCTTAAACTGGGTTTATCTCCTGGAAGGACCCTGTGCTGTTCTGAAGGTAATTACCTATGACCCTGAACTTAGGTAAAGAGTGCTCTTAATGACCTCTCCCTCAGTGACTGATTCAGGTGAGCATGGAACTTGGTCTGCTACCTCTCTGGTCTCAGACTAAAATGAACCCTCCTCTTTGATGCAAATCCTTTAGAAATACACAGGAGGGCCCAAGGAAATGTACCCCGGTGAAACTGTAGATGCACCCCTCTTCCAAACCTTGATGTGGGAGCCAGTGGAGATGGAAGGCTGTGAGCTCCCTTGCCAATCTTTCTTGTTACGTGCTTTAAAGCCTTGTGCCATCTCCTCTCCCCCACAGAGAGAGACACCAAAGGGAAGATTCTCTGCGTCTTCCAAGGGGTGGGGAAATTCATTCTACTCCTGGGATTTCTCTACCTGTTCGTGTGCTCCTTGGATATCCTCAGCAGCGCTTTCCAGTTGGTTGGAGGTATGACCCCCGAGGGTTCAGGACTAGAGGTTTGGTATTTCTGACTCTTGAATTCCATCCAGACAGTCACAGCTCACAAGCCTTTTCAACCAGCAACCTGGTGAGGGACAACAAGATAATCCTAACTCCCTGCCCCTGCCCATAGTACACAAGAGAAAACTAAAGTCTCTAAACAGCTGTGATGGCTCAGGTGGTTTAGGTCAGGAGCCAGGGCTGGAGCTGATTCCAGCTATCAGGCCCCTGTCTTTGTTCCTAAGCCCTAGCAGGAAACTGCTTGACTTCCCCTTATCTGGGATATCCCTGCTGTCTCTTGGACTCTGTATCTGGAGATTATGGAGAAAGAATGATTTCCCAGGCCAAAGCAAGGAGTAGTAGAGATCAAAGTTGGCCCTTACTGGGAAACAGGTCCCAACCTTCCAAACTGTGCCCTCAGCAGATGACCCAATGTCTCCCCATGTTCCAGGGGCCCAGACGTGTGACATGTGCTCAATTAGCTTTGTAGCCTCCTTGTGTTACAGCAGTCAAGCCTGTGGATTCCTACCTACCTCCTTTGCTGGCTCTCATGAGCTGCTGTTTTTGACCTGGGAGATGTGACGCTAGTCAGTCCTTAGGAGACTGAGGGGCAAAGGGATTTTCCGAATGTTTTAAGTCCCTCTAACTCTTGGGAGCAGAGCAGCGTGAGGCTTAGCTTTCTGGTTATTATCTTAGGCAATTCATACCCAGTCCCTCTTTTGTTATCCGTTATAAAATGGATTAGGGGAAGGATTAAAGGCGAAACAAGTGCTCTCAGATTTCTGTAGAATTCAGTGAGGAGCCCTGACTGAAGCGAAGTGGAGAGAGAGAAGAATGAAGGGACCCACTTCTGGAAGACAGAGCTTTTGTGTTGAGAATCCATCCAAGAAGCAGGATTAGGCATAAACTGAGCCAGGTTTACCAGAGAAGGCTAGGGAAAAAGGCCAGCTGACCAGGGAGTGGCTAAAGGTGAGCAGCCACAGGGTAGATGCCAGAGGGAACCAGGTCAGAGGTGGAACGGGACGCTCATGTTGACAGCCAGTGAGTTTCTCTTCAGGACAATGGAGGGAAAAAGCAGAGGGAAGCAAGATTCCACAGGCCCAGCTAGGTACTCACAAGTAGTTAGACTTGTGTTGATAGACTAGCAGGGCCCAGTGACCCTAACCCTGCCCTCCCCCTCTCACTGTGTGGTCATCATTTCTCTTTCAGGAAAGATGGCGGGCGAGTTCTTCAGCAACAATTCCATCATGACCAACCCTGTGGCAGGGCTGGTGATTGGGGTGCTGGTGACCGTCATGGTGCAGAGTTCCAGCACGTCTTCGTCCATCATTGTCAGCATGGTGGCCTCCTCTTGTAAGTTAGGGTACCCAGGAGCTCACATGCATCCATCTACCTGGGGAGTTTAGGCCGTATCCCCCTTTGCATGTGGATGAGTGAATCTGCAAATAAACTTTCGAATTCTCGGAGCCATCAAACAAATGTGGGGACTCAATTCCATCTATCTTCAGTGGTTTAACAGGAGTCTTTATGCCATGTACAACTGACTCTAATGTTTTTATTGACTCTAGGACGCCCCTGCCTCCTCAAAGACTGACCGACTTCTGGGCTTCTTTGAGATGGTATCATCTCTGTCCTAGAGGACAGAGGAATTTAGAAAAGAACTTAAAAGCTATAAGTTGTGCATGACTCCTAAAGAAGCTAAGAACAGCCAGTGAGTTTCATCTGTAACCTGACTTTCTAATGTTTCTTGTTCACCCTCCAGTGTTGACTGTGCGGACTGCCATCCCCATCATCATGGGGGCCAACATCGGGACCTCCATCACCAACACCATTGTGGCACTCATGCAGGCGGGGGACCGGAATGAGTTCAGAAGGTAGGGGATTAGAAAATCTTTGTGCTCATCGGGTCTGTTGTTTGAAGCACACCGTTAGCTAGCCATGAGGGTATGCTTGGCAGCTAACTTAGAAGGAGTTGGATATGGTATCCTTGTTGATTAAAATCTGCAGAGCTAAAATAATAATAATAATAATAATAATAATAATATCCAGGACTACTATATTATTTTAAGGGTTAAATAGAGCCATGCAAGCAAGTACCTGATACCTCAAAAGGCAAGCACTTAGCTAGACATGTACTGGTAGGTGGTGGCCCCGAATGAAACAAGACCAGTTGGGGTAGGCTTTACTGTCTCACTTACTCATACATAATTATAACTTTCTAAAACTTCCCTTTTTGGCTAGCTCAACTAACCCTCCCTCTTCGTTCTTTACCTACAAGTCAATAAAAGGCCCAAAGTAGTTTATGGTAATGTGTAAGGCATGAAAAAAATGAAGTGGTTAGAAATAGACAAATAGGCAAAGGAATCTTCTTCCTTCCAAAAGGTTAATGTGAGAAGAGAAGTAAGCAAATTTCCCAGCTTCTTTTCTAACCTGTGATAGACGTTTACCAGAGCTTATTAAAATATAGAAACAATTCCCAACTTGTCTGTGATGTGATCACTGTGCGGTCGGACAGTTGATATTACAGTGCTACTACAGTGGGCTGTTGAAGGAGACAGACGCTCATCTGCCTGAGCCACCTCATTTGGTCCCTGATGACATGTCTTGATGGACACAATAATACACATTAATGTTCTCTAATTTGACCTCATGAAGCCAGGTGGGCTTCACTCCCTGATGGTGTTCATGCTGCAGACTAAGGAAGCATGGTGGTATCACTGACTGGCATAGTCTGGATCCCAGCTAGGTTTTCCTTCTGGAAAAATTGGATTATTCTCATGGCTACACTAGTTGTTTCCATGTGAAATAGAAGCCTAATATCTACTGAGGTACTGGCACATTGGGATACCAGTGACTTAGCTTACCCTCCTGTGGGCTATATATATGCTTTCTGCAATGTCTTATCATTCAGTGATTTGGATTATTTTCATAGATTTCTGTAATTACTGTATCAAACCTTTATAAAGCTTATACATTTTGCCAAATAGCAGGAAATATCTGTGGACACTTAATCAGCAGTACATGAAAGTGCCTTCAATTCCCTTCCCTAGGAAATGCAAGAATACCTAAAGGATATTAGATAATATAAGGGAAATGTTTGCACTTAAATTTCTTTTATGAGTGAAGATTCATATTTCCCCATCTGCATTTTACTCCTTCTGTTTGTTCTTGTCACAAGGACCATCTGGTATTAGATATTTCTGCAAGAAACATTTTCAATTTTCATTGAGGAAAAAGCCTGGGGCAGAGTTTGTTGCAGGGGGGGTTGGTGTTTTGTTTTTGTTATTATCTTCTTTGTTTTTTTTGAGGCTACCTTTCCTACACTGTACAGCCCAGGCTGTCCTCTGCTTCTCCAAATGCTGGGATTATAGACCTGTGCAGTCATGCCGAACTGAGACAGATTCTTAATCTGTAGACCTATGTGTCTCAGAATTTTTTTTGGTCTTTTTTTTTTTTCTTTGAAACAGGGTCTCCCTGTAGCCCCAGCTGTCGTGGAACTCACTATGTAGACCAGGCTGGCCTTGAACGCACAGAGATCTGCCTGCCTCTGCCTCCTGAGTGCTGGGATTAAAGGCATGTGCCACCACGTCCAGCTGTGTCTCAGAATTTTGAAGTTTCTTTTTTTTCTTAATTGTTGTGAGTTCAATTGCATAGGTTTTGGATGCCTGTCCACTTCTCTATACCTTTCTAAGGGCTGATTGGATTTTACAAGGGATTCAAAAGTAGTCTCAGAGCAATTCTGCTATATAGTGAAAAATAATTTCAGTCATAACACATTGACTGTTTCCTCTCTGTGTGCACTCATTTGAGTGACACCTGGTAAATGCAAAGACCTGAGCTGACTGTCATCTCTACAATGAGAGTCTAATCTGATGCTGGGGCTTTCCTCCCATAGGGCTTTTGCAGGGGCCACTGTTCATGACTTCTTCAACTGGCTCTCTGTGTTGGTGCTTTTGCCCCTGGAGGCTGCCACACACTACCTCGAGATCCTGACCAACCTTGTGGTGGACACCTTCAAGTTCAAGAATGGAGAAGATGCCCCAGACCTTTTAAAAGTCATCACAGATCCATTCACAAAGCTTGTCATTCAGGTAGCTGTTTTATCAGTATTGCTCACATCCTACTCCAAACTTCCATCACAATGAGCCTAAGGAGGCTGGAACACTGCTCCATGGCCACCTCTGGAAAAGCCATAGGAAGCAGAAGTTCAGGGACATTGGGCAGGGAGTTTCACCTTTATTTCCTTGACACCAGCATGGTATGTCCTCTTTATGGGGTGGGGACTTAGGTTGGGATTGGGGTGATGAGCGCTTCTGAAGGATTCTCCACTGTGTAATTGTGACCACTTGGTTCCTAATACAGTCCTCAATATGGCTGATTGAGAAAGTTTTATCTGGTTCCTAGCCAAAGAGGATTACTACACTTCCCACCTGAGGCTAATTCAGCCCTCTGTTCTAGGTATCTAGTGTTATCACTGAAAGCAAAGAATACTTTGTGGATCTTGCCTTGGGGAGAAAGCCACCTGAGACCTTGAACTTGCACTCTGTCTTTCTTGTCCCTGTTGTGTTTACACTCGGTGCCCCTGTCATACAGTCATTCTCTACTGTCCCCAGTGGGAAGTTTGGGGGCAGTAGGGGTTGCACATAGTGTGAGTGTTCAAAACCACACCTTCATGGGTCACAGTCAAGTTCATCTCCTGAGAGGTGCTCTAACAGCAACGGCTCCTGTCTCCCATCACTTCTGAGACTATGCTGACCATTCTTCTGTATTGCTTCATCAGCTGGATAAAAAGGTCATCCAGCAAATTGCAATGAATGATGAGACAGCCCGGAACAAGAGTCTGGTCAAGACCTGGTGTAAAACTTTAACTACCGTGGTAAGTGTTGGGAATGTGGCTGGACTGCTGAGTCCTGGCGGGTTGCCATGTTTACATGATGAAGGTTTATTTGTCCCAGTTGTTCCAAGAGCTCTTCCTCAAGAGACGGAAGGCATACTATATGATAGAACCACTCCATAGACGAAAGGATAGTGCCCCACATTGCCCCACATTATCCCACATTGCCTGGCTTTTCTCACCATGAACTTTTCTCATTTGTCATTAGACTCAGGTGAATGTCACCGTCCCTTCACCTGATAACTGTACCTCTTCTTCTCTCTGCTGGATGGATGGCAACCAGACCTGGACCATCCAGAATGTGACCAATGTGGAGAACATTGCTAAATGTGAGTTGGGGTTTCAACTGGTCACCAGGGTGGTGGTCTGAGGTGCTGACTAGCATTTATTATCTGTGGGGAGCCCAGTGTGTGCAGCAAAGGAGGCCAGGAAGGGGCCAACCCCCAGACTAGGCTTGGGGTATTGTTTTCAGAGCATAGGATGCTAAGTCTTAAAGACTGAGATGATGGTCCAAGATCCCCTGGGCAGACTCACACAGGTCTGCACCATACCATCTCTGAGGAGCTTGTCATGAGATTCCACAGTGTTTCCTTGGTGTGTTACAGTAACCCTCTGTGGGGTGATGATGGCCAGTTTGAAGGACAAAGTATGGTCCTTTGGACAGGTCTTTTCACTCAGTCCCTTCTTAGTCCAGGGTGCCATATATCCATATTCTCCTGAATATCTATATCTCTTATACCATTACCATAAGTTCTGTGCTGCCATGTGTCTACCTGCCTATCAAGAGACTGTGTTAGTCTGAGGAAGTCATATTGGGGCATAAATAATGTCTAGCCAGGGTAGCCCCTGACGTCCTGACAAGGCTTTCTATATCTCTTCAGGCAAGCATATCTTCGTGAATTTCAACCTCCCAGATCTTGCTGTGGGCATCATCCTGCTGATTGTCTCACTGCTGGTCCTCTGTGGCTGTCTGATTATGATAGTCAAGCTCTTGGGCTCTGTGCTCAAGGGACAGGTTGCTGCTGTCATCAAGAAGACCCTCAATACTGGTAGGCCTAATACTTCCCCACCATGTCCCAGCCTTTTAAGGTAGCATCCTGCTCTTTGGTTTCTCTCTTGCAATGGCTTCTGCAGAGAGGTCTTTCTTGGACCTCTTAAGCTGCAGAAGATGCCAATTCACCCTGGAAATTTCATGGGTGGGTCTGGGAGGGGAGCAGTACAGACTCACAATTGTGGGTTGGGAATGCCCTGCGAAAGCTAGCTCAACTCTAGAGTTAGGCCTTCTCCCTGGCAGAATTTCTGTATTTCTATATTCTAATTTCTATATTTCTATTTCCTGTTGGGAAGGAAATGTGGCTTTGATAACTATGTCAGCCAGAAGGACTCTGGCCAACAGGAGCTCCTTTGCCAGTAAAGCATCCTAACCAATGAGAGCTCACCAAGCATGACACTCCTGGAATCTCAATAGAATGTGGCCCATAGCATCTGCCCCCACCCCCTTCAAGCTGTCATGAGAGGGACCTGGCCTGAACAGGGCCTGATCCTGGGTAGCTAGGTTGAAAGGCTGAATTGATGGCTTTCTTCTAAGCTTTGTAGGTGGAAACAAAAGTTGGAAGTGTCCACTGATTTCAGACCAGGCTAGCTAAGATGGTGGCTTTGGAGGGTGAATAATTCATCTCCAGGCCATATGCAGAGCATAGCCTCACACTCTGGCTACTTGCTCTAATGAGATGCCAGCTAGGCCTCCTGCCTGTGCCTTCCTCAGGACTTGCAGAAACTCTCCTTCTGTGTCTTCCAGATTTCCCTTTTCCCTTTGCCTGGGTGACTGGTTACCTGGCTATCCTTGTCGGGGCAGGGATGACCTTCATTGTGCAGAGCAGCTCTGTGTTTACTTCTGCCATGACGCCACTCATCGGTGAGTTTCTCCCTGGGCTCTCCCTCGGACTCCCTTGCCATTTCCCATCATTTCATGGGCTAATGCCATGTGCTCTGTGCTTTCCCACCAGGTATTGGCGTGATTACCATTGAGAGGGCATATCCACTCACGCTAGGCTCCAACATTGGTACCACCACCACAGCCATCCTGGCCGCCTTAGCCAGCCCAGGAAATACACTGAGAAGTTCACTCCAGGTTAGGACCTGCTCCAGGGGTCTGGGTGGGATATAGCCCATCTGTGGTTTGTTGTTATTTGTTTGTTTTTAAAAATCTTTTTAAAAACATTTTATTAATTATGTGTATGGATGTGCCTGTGTAGAGGTCAAAGGGAAATCTGTGAGGGTTCAGTTCTCTCCTTCTACCATATGGGTCTTGGGATGGAACTCAGGTCATCAGACTTAGTGGCTAGCACCCTTACCCACCGAGCCATTTCACCTGCCCCTTTTTAATGTTTTGATTTGGAGTCTTTGTAGCACAGGCTGGCCCCAAACTCACAAACGATGCTGGGATTATATATGTGCACCATCATACCCAGCTTGCAAACTCTTTTCTAATGAGAGCCAAACTCTGCTGTGTTTATCCAAAGAACAGAGCTAAGATACTGGGAGAAGTCAGAGGGCTCTAGAATTCGGGTGCTCAATGTGAGAAGTCAGCGATATCTCCTTAGAGAGGGAATTATTTAAACAAAGGTGAGGTAGCCTTTAGGCAGAGGTGGAAAGAATGATATCAGTCCAGACACCATCTACCTCCCCACCCCTCTTTAGGAACTCTGCCTGAAAAGTGGCTAGAGGGCAATCTGTGTCATTCCAGGGCAACTGCCTGGCCTGGAGCACCTTTGGGATTTGTCTCCCTGTCCCACCATTTATAGACTGTGACCTTCATGTACCCTTAAATGAAAGTCCCTCTTCCCATTAGGATGATGGCAAGGAAGGCACTATCTAAAGCCATTGCTGTCCCACACAACTATAAATGTGTCTATAGCATGTGATTTAGAGCTACAGGTAGCTCATGAGTCACATTTTTAACAAGTGAAAATTAACGATAATTCATTTTTAGTAATGTGTTTGGTTTAGCTGGTTACCATGCCAATATAATCAGTATTTTTAAATAGGTGAGACGTCTCTCATTCTAGTGTGCACTTTATCATCTGAGTACATTTCAGTGCAGACCCGCCCAACTTGAAGTGCTCAGTGGGCACCTGTGGTTAGTGTATTTGACAGGGTTGGTCCAAACAGGGTTGGTCCAAAGCACCTAGAATGGTGTCCACATCCGTGAGTGTGGACAAATGTTTGGTCTGCAACCAGACAGTCACTTGTGTGACTGTAGGGACATGGCTTGTGGGGCATTTTTGAAGCCTGAGATAGTCTACTTTAAGTACATACAAAAGTTGCCTTGTATGGAGCATAATTGTCAGTAGTGGTCAGTAGAGGTCCTTCTAGGGCCTCTGAGTAGACAAAGCTAGTGATTAAGCATTGCTTACTGCCTACCTGCTCTTGATCACTTAGCTGAGACAAAAGAACCAAGGCATGAGGAAGCAGCAGGCAAACCTTAAAGGAGTTCAGGTCCTGAAAGCTGAGCTGTGATTTTTTGGTGTCCCCTCCTTTCTTTCTCCCCCAACAGTAAAGTGATCTGAATTTAGAAAGCACATCTGAATTTAGCTATACACATGGAAGACCTTAGGTGACCCCTGTTCTGACCCCTCTCACCTGTCCAACATCTTCCATTACAGATTGCCCTGTGCCACTTTTTCTTCAACATTTCTGGAATCTTGCTGTGGTACCCGATACCATTCACCCGCCTTCCCATCCGCCTTGCCAAGGGCCTGGGCAACATCTCTGCCAAGTACCGCTGGTTCGCAGTCTTCTACCTGATCTTCTTCTTCCTTCTGACCCCACTCACTGTGTTTGGCCTGTCGCTGGCAGGCTGGCCGGTGCTGGTGGGCGTGGGCGTGCCCATCGTTCTCCTGGTGCTCCTGATCGTGTGTCTCCGGATGCTGCAGTCACGATGCCCACGCATCCTGCCCCTGAGGCTCCGGGATTGGAACTTCCTGCCCTCGTGGATGCATTCCCTGAAACCCTGGGACAACGTCATCTCCCTGGCGACTACCTGCTTCCACAGGCGCTGCTGTTGCTGTTGTCGAGTCTGCTGCCGCGTGTGCTGCATGGTGTGTGGCTGCAAGTGCTGCCGTTGCAGCAAGTGCTGCAGGGACATGGAGGAGGGGGAAGAAGAGCAGGATGTCCCTGTCAAGGCTCTCGGGGCTTTTGACAACGCATCCATAAGCAAGGACGCCCAAGATTCTGGCAAGGGCCAGGTGGATGCTCTGGACATTAAGACCACCACAGTGTTCTAGGGTGTTCTAGGGTGGGACAGAGGTTAGATAGTCCCTTATGATCTGCCGCTTCCCAGTGCCTCCTGCTGACTCAGTTGACTTCAAATCTAGCTCTCCTTCCCCTGCCCAAAATACCAGCCTACGGGGGAATCAACCTTATCTCAGACCAGGCTCCTAGAAGACACAGGGTGCACAGGGGAGAATTAGGACCATTATGCTGGCCCCACAGATGACCCCATCCACTCCTGCTCCAGGATCTGCTTTCAGAAAGGGAAAGTCCCAAGGGAGATATTAAGGAAGATTCTGGAAGGGCTCCATGAAAAAAGTATGTGTATATGTGTACAAAGCTTTCCCTTTTGCTATAAAGCCGCAGCCACCCTTTTCTTTTTACAAAAGGCTCCCTGTCCCAAATAGCTTTTCCAGAACATCACCCCAAATCTCCAGCAGCCAGTAAAGACAAAACGAAATAATGGGTGAAAATCCACAGGTGTGGGCCTATTCAGCTTCCCAGGGCAACTCTTCCCTTTCAGGGAGACTTCATCTGGACAGGTATGACCAGTCCGAGAAGTCCACTCAGTGTTTCTGCAGCTCTCTTGGATGGGAGTCACACCTGAAGGACATACTTGCCTTCCTCCTTGGTTCACTAGACAAATCTAGAAGCTAAATTGTTAGGCATTGTGGCCACAGAGTTTATGCTGCTCCTGTTTCTCCCCCTGTTCTCACTCTTTGGGCCAACCTTTAGTGGTCAGTTTCATCCATCCACCCACATTTCCACCAGGGTGTCCGGGCATCCTCTCAAACTTTCCCATTCTGTCATAGATGCCCTTCTTCCAGCCTCTTCTTCATGCCTGCAAAGCTCCAAACTTCTCAGGAGGGAGGTGATGGCATGGCTGGATGTCCACAGAACCGTGCTCAGCAGGGTTCATCACGGGTGGCTGCAGGGAAAGGGTGTATTCTATGCCTTCTGGAGGCCCCATTTATTCACACTGTCACAATTCCCCCTGCAAAAACAAGCTTGCTTCAGGGGAGGCAGTGAGGCTGCATCCCAAGAATTGTCCTTCCCATCCTCTCCTAACTGACGTCTTTACTCTCTGAACAGGCTGGGATACCAGAGCCCCTCAGGCCTTCCCCTATGTAGATAACATTCACAGACAGCCATTTATATTGCATATTTATAGTCATGTATCTGTACAGCATATTTCATAAGTTATATAGTAATCAGTCAAATGATTTGTTTTATAGTGTCTCATTTGGAAACGAGGCAGGGTTCTTCACTGTAAAAGACAGAGCACTTTTGTATATTTTGTAATACTACCTTTAAACATGCCTCTGAGGCCAGGCCAGTCCCTGTAAATATGTAAGTTAAACCCTGGGCAGTGGCTACAGTTGGCTTTGCACTGTTGATCTTTTTTTTTTTTTTAATTTGATCCTTGTACCTGTATTGATTGTATTTTTTTTACTGGTTGAGGGAAGAGAGAAATAAAAGAATCAAACCCCAAAAAGGAGTATATTGCTTCCAGTTAACAGGGAAATAGAGCCTTCCTTGAATTGATTTCCTAAAAACGTAAGGTGTTTTTCCTCACTTAACCTCACTACTCACCAACAGACTTAGCTTCATAATAGTTCCTGGTTTAAAAATTCAAGAGAACCATGCCATTAAGGGTACTAGAGACTTCTGGTGTCTGTCTCATCATGGGAATTTGCGCTGAATTTTAAGGTCCACTGAAAATGTTAACCTTCATCCTCACAGTATGCAGTGTCAGGTCTGGATGAAGACAGAGCTTTTAACTCATGGAATGTTCGAATAATGAAGCTCACATTCTGCAGCTTGTACTTGCATTTTGTTCCTTCTACTGTGTTCTGCACTTTCTACCAGCACCTTACTGAAGAGTAAGGAAGAGTTGAAAGAAGAAACAAGGAGCTGCCTTGCTTCTGTGCAGCTTCTGTGTCAGCCTTTGTAATCCATGGTGCTTAGTGGTGATGGGTCTGAGAAGGGAGAGATCAGGCTCCCTGGTTGCTATGTTTCTGATTCCCATTGCTTTCTTTACTGAGCTTTGAAAGTTGGCATGAAAATATATAAGACGGCGCTGGATTAGTGTATCTACTACATATCTACTACATATCTACACATGATTTGAACTCTTGTCACTATAATACACAATTCAGTATAAATAGTCTGAATAGTTTTATATTTTTTTGTTTTTATGTGTGTATTTCGCCTTCGTACATGTAAGTGCACCTGTGTTGGTCCAGTTCCTGTGGAAGCCAGAAGAGAGTCAGATTCTCTGGAACTGGAGTAAAGGATGGTTGTGAACTACTATGTGGGTGCTAGGAACCAAACCTGGTTCCCATGGAAGAGCAATCAGTTCTCTTAACCACCACTGAACCATTTCTCCAGCCTCAGTTTTTTGTTCTTTAGGGAACAGTGACAAGAAGAAAGTCTGTGTGCTCAGTCTATTTGCAATTTTGTTGTTTACAGCCAGGGTCTCAGGTAGCTTAGGCTGGCCTTGAACTCGGTATTTAGCCATCTCCTTTCTACCAGGAGAGAACAATAGAGCAGCCCAACAAATCCAATACCAAGTTGATAACCAGAGTGAATAAATGAGATAGTAATGTGTGAAGCTGTTCATTACACAGTATAAGATAACTGATTCAGAGTACAGCCTTTCAAGTGTAGACACTGGATTAAGTCAGATGTAATTCTGGAACCTCAATGCAAACCAGTTCTTGCCAGGGCAAGATTCTCTTTGATTAAATTCCCTCAGAGATTGAGCCTCCTGGTATAGGTGGCTGATGGGCAGTCCCCTTAGGTTCTATAATTTACTCATTAGCTGCAGCATAATGTCACGGTGTCCAGATTAGAATAAATCCTGCTCCTTGGGCTCTGACTAGAGTGGTCTGTGAGCAAAGCATAAATTATACTGCCATGAGGTAAAACCATATCTTCTCATTTGACCCAGGTTAATTACATAGGAACCAAATGGATTCTGGGACCAGCCTGCTAGTGCTGAGGTGCAGGGCTCACTCTGTTGGAGTCTAGAAATCAGTAAATAGCATCCCTTACAATATTAGTAATTAATTTTAATATGAGAGAAGATATCCCAGTCAGTTAGGTTAAAATATCAAATTTATGACTTAAGAAGCTACCTGTTAAGTCACACCTGAACTGAAATGTGCTGTAATGTAACATATACGCTGGAGTATACAAATCTTTCTAATGGATTTTATGTTGAGTATATGTTAAAATGGTAGATTTTGAATGTGTTGAGTCAAATAAAATACAGTAGAATCCCACCTTATTTTTTATAAATTAATTTTTAATTTTTATTTTGTGTGTGTGTCTCGCCTACATGTGTACCTCTGCATGCAATACCCATGGCAGCCAGAAGGGGGTGTCAGATTCCCTAAAACTGGAGTTAAGAACTGTTGTTAGCCTCCATGTGGGAGATGGGAACCTCAGGTACTCTGAAAGAGCAGACAATTTGTGCTCTTAACCACTGAGCCATCTCTCCAGCCCTTCCAGCTTATTTTAAGATAGGGTCTTATTATGAGCCTAGCTGATCTGGATTGTCAGCCTTCCTGTTTCAGCCTACCATGTTCTAGATGGTGTGCTCCACTATCCCAGACTTTATTATTTTTAGTTTTTACTTCTTATTTTTATTTTATTTTATTTTATTGAGATAGTAGAGTCTATAGGCCTGTTTGGCCTGGAATTCTCTATGCAGATCAGGCTGGCCTCAAACTTGTGACCATCCGTTTGTCTCTGAATGCTTGGATTACAGGAGTGTGCCACAATACCAGCTGTAACTCCAGTTCTTGGGGACTCCAACACCCTCTTCTGTCCTCCTCGGGCATTGCAGGTGCACCTACTTTTACATGCACTCATACATAAAATAAAAAAGTTTCATAAGATTAAATGTAAAACTAAAATCAATAAAACTATCTAACCTTATGAAAATGTAGGAAGTCTCTCCTCAATAACTCTTATTAGTGATGAGACCAATTTACTATGTTTAATCCCAAGAGGCCTTGACAAATTCGTAATAATTAAATCTGACCCTGTGTGCTACAATAAGGCATATGCCTTTAAATACCAGCACTTTGGAGGCAGAAGCAAGCAGATCTCTGTGAGTTTGAAGCCATTTGGGGCTACAAGGAGACCCTGTCTCAAACAGACCAAAATAAATAAATAAATAAATAAATAAATAAATAATCTATTATTCTCATAGAAGTATATGTAATTTGGGAACTCCTTGGTTTAGATTTTAAGTTTAGGGAAGTTTGAAAAATCTAATGGATATCATTATCAGCTCACTGTTGTATGCATTAAAATATGGGAAATTAGTATTGTTTTTCATGATGTAAATAATCATGTCAAATTTAATAAGACTGAATTTGTTCTGGCAAAAATATGGTCCTACTGTGATTTTGTTTGGTTAAAATGAGAGTGACTGTAAAGCAATCACAAAATATTGCTTTAATAGAAAAACCATAGTGTGCCCAGTGTAACGTCCTGGTTACGGTCGTTTTCTTTGAGCATTTATTATCACCTCTTGGTAAAATAAATTGCATACTGTAGTTATTTTTTCTTTAGTTTTATTAAAGACTAAAACAGGCCAGGTACGGTGGCTCATGTTTGTAATACCAGGGCTGAAGTGAACCACATAGCGAGACCCTATCTCAAAGCAAACAAAGAAAAACAAGCAAAAACCAACAAAATACAAATAAAATCTAAAAACTGTGCTTTGGGGGAGCTAGAGAAATGGCTCTTCCAGAGGACCTGAGCTGGGTTCCCAGGACCCCCACTGGGGAGCTCACAACTGTTTGTAACTCTAGTTTGAGGGCATCTAGCAGCACCTGAACACATGTGGCACACACACAAAATAATAAATAATAAAATTGGAAAAATTCCTTTCAGCGAGTTATGCAAGCTAAAACTGAATAGTGTTAAGCATTCTAAGATGTACTTTATGGATCATATATAGATAATCTTCCTGACAGCTATTACATTACTCACGTGA